TTCTGGCACGGCGATTCGCGCGACGAGCGCGTCGACGTCGGCGGCGGCGTAGGTCTTGACGTCGTAGGCGTGTCGAGCATTGCCGCTCTTCGGCCGCCTCGCGATCTCGAAGGGGAGGTCCGTGAAGGAATTGTTCGTCAGCCGCGAGTAGCGCTTCAGGGCCGTCTTCTGGTTGTACCGCGCACCCGCTTCCACCTCGAGCCAGAGCGGATCGACCGGTTCGGGCTCCGTCGCGGCGAGGCGCGCGACGAGTGCGTCGACGTCGGCGGCGAGGTAGGTCTTGACGTCGTATGCGCGGCAACCAGGACCGGGGCCGCTCTTCGGTTGTCGCGCGACCTCGCTCGGCAGGCGCTTGAGGATTGAATGGCTCGTCAGATGCGGGTACCGCTCCATCGCCGTCTTGGCGGTATGCCGCGTGCCCGCTAAGACCTCGCGCCAACGCGCGACCTTCGCCTCCATCGCCTGCTGCGTCGGCTAAATTCTGGCTCCAAGAGCCCCGGGCAGAAGCCCGCGCGTCGACTTGAGAGTCGACGAGGGTCTTGTGGATATTTTCTGGAGCGCCTGGCGAGCCCAAAATCGACGACATGATCTCCGCCCTCCTCGCCATCGCCTGCATCGCCCACGCCGTCCGCGACTTCGAGGAGATCGCGAGCGTGGGACTACGGAGGCTAAGCGCGGTCTTGCACAAGTATGGGCCTAGACGATCTGGAGCGCGGCACGTCTAAGGAGCGATCTGGAGCGTCGCGCGGCACGTCGGGCACGTCGTCTGGGTGCTCGCCCAGTCCGTGATGCAGTCCTTGCAGAAGCGGTGGCCGCAGACGAGCGCCGCGGTGGCGCCCGTCATCGGGTCGAGGCAGACGGGGCACTCCTCGGGCTCCTCCTCCGGCTCGGGCTCCGGCTCCTGGGGCGGCTCGGGCTCCTGGACGCGCATGCGCTTCTTGGCTCGCGCCGCGGCGAGCTCCTCGATGACGGCGGCGGAGAAGGTCTTGATGTCGATGGCGGCACGATTGCCAATCTTCGGCCGCCGCGCGATCTCGAAGGGGAGGTCCGCGAGGAGTTTATTGTGGAGCTGCGGGTAGCGCTTCTTGGCCGTCCTCGCATCATACCGCGCGCCCGATTCCACCTCACGCCAGCGCTGGTCAACCGTTTCCGGCGCAGCTCGGCGCGCGACGAGCGCGTCGACGTCTGAGGCGAGGTAGGTCTTGACGTCGCGTGCGCCTTGATCGTCGATATTCGGCTTCGTGGCGATCTCGAAGGGGAGGTTTGCGAAGTGTAGCCACTGGAGCTGCGGGTAGCGCTTCATGGCCGTCTTCCGGTCGTAACGCGCGCCCGCTTCGACCTCGCGCCAGCGCGGGTCGACCGGTTCCGGCGCGAGACGAGCCGCGAGCGCGTCGACGTCGGTGGCGAGGTAGGTCTTGACGTCGCGGGGGCCCTTGCAGGGCTTCGGCCGCCGCGCGATCTCAAAGGGGAGTTCATCAAAGGAATGACACGACAGCTGCGGATGGCGCTCCATCGCCGTCGTCTTTGTATACCGCGTCCCCGCTTCGACCTCGGGCCAACGCGGATCAACCGGTTCGGCTTTCGGCGCGGCGAGGCGCGCGACGAGCGCGTCGACGTCTGAGGCGAGGTAGGTCTTGACGTCGTAGGCGCGTTGACTGCCGGTCTTCGGCCGTCGTGCGATCTCGCTCCGCAGGCCCTTGAGCGAATACTCTGTCAGATGCGGGTACCGCTCCATCGCCGTCTTCGCGGTATACCGCGTTCCCGCTTCGACCTCGCGCCAGCGCGGGTCGACCGGTTCGGGCGCGGCGAGGCGCGCGACGAGCGCGTCGACGTCTGAGGCGAGGTAGGTCTTGACGTCGCGGGCGTGGTTACCATGACCGGGGCCGATCTTCGGACTTCGCGCGACCTTGCTCGGCAGGCCCTTGAACAACTGCCGATTCAGCTGCGGAAACCGCTCCATCGCTGTTTTCTCAGAAAGCCGCGTTCCAGCTTCGACCTCGCGCCAGAGGGCGACCTTCGCCTCCATCGCGCCGCTACCGTCGGCTAAATTCTGGCTCCAAGGGCCGGGGCGACAAGAAGAACGCGCGGGTCGACACGAGAGTCGACGAGGGTCTTGTGGATATTTTCTGAGCGGCCGGCGAGCCTCCAAAATCGACGACATCTCCGCCCTCCTCGCCATCGCCGGCATCGCAGGCGCCGTCCGCGACATCGAGGAGACCGCGAGCGTAAGACTACGGAGGCTAAGCGCGGTCTTGCACGAGTATGGGCCTAGACGATACGAGCCCGAGGCGCGGACGCACGAGCCGCACCGCGACGCGCGCTCGCTCGCCACCGTCGTTCACGAGCCTCGCGGACTACGGGTCCGAGTACACGGGGGGCATCTACCTAGGCTCAGGGCAGGGGCTCGTCGTGGTCCCCGAGGCGCGAGAGGTAGACGAACGCGTCGGTGCCGAAGCCCTCCATGGACATGAGCGTGAGGTCGCCGCCGAAGTAGCGCGCGTAGGCCCGGGAGATGGGGAGGCCGTAGCCGAGCCCCGCGAGGGGCGCGCCGACGAAGTCCGAGCCGTCGTTGTTGAAGCCCCGCGCCTGGACGTCGGCCGACGCCGTCGTGTAGAGGTAGGACCAGACGCGGCGCAAATCGCTCCGCGCGATGCCGCCGCCCTCGTCGCTGATCTTGAGCGCGACGTCCTCGTTGTCCTCGCCGTCGGCGACGATGACTCTGATGTCCGCGGGCTCGTCGGCGTCGAGCGCGAGCTGCTTCTCGCAGGACGCGCGCATCGAGTTCTTCAGGAGCTCCAGGAGGATGTAGAAGACGTGGTCGGGCACGTACTCGAAGTCGAGGTCCGTGCGCCCGATGATCTTCACGGCCGGCGCGACGCCAAACTGGCGCTCGCAGAGCGCCGTCGCCTGGCGCACGGCGTCCTCCGCGATGACCGCGGGGTTCACCGCCGTGTTGAAGAGCCCGACGACGCGGGAGTCCGGGCGGTCGTCGACGGGCGACCGCAGCGCGACGTACTGGCCGATGATCATGCGGATGCCGATGCGCGACGTGTAGAAGGAGTCGAGGAACCCGTGGATCGACGCGTCGTCCTCGAAGGCCGCGCCCGCCGCGCCCCGCTCGCCGACGCGCGCGCGGAGCTCGAAGGCGCCCTGGGCCATCGTGTACAAGACGCCCGCGTGGCGCTCGTAGATGGTCTCCAGGAGCTGCGCGAAGGCGCGCTCCGACGCCCCGTCCGTCGGGCGGTCCGCGGCGAGGATCTCCGCCGCGCTCGTCGCGTACCACTCGCGGACGCGGCGCACCGACGCCATGCCGTGGAGGCCCGGCAGGCCGTCGAGCTCGACGACGCGCCGCGCGAGGCGGATGGGCAGCTCGTGGTGGAGGAAGGACGCGATGGTCAGCAGCACCTTCGTGGGCTGCGACGGGTCGTCGGGCGTGAGCGCGAGGTGGTTCTGCCCGGCGTCGACGAGGCCCCGCAAGCTCACGCCCGTCTGCGACCGCTTCGACAGCGCGAGGATGTCGGCCTCCGCCGTGAGCCGCCGCCGCGGCGCCGACGCGACGCCCGGCCTCACCGCGGCGCACCGGCCGCGGG